CACCATTAGACTGATCTTACAAGAAATGCTAAAAGAAGTTCTTCAAGCTTAAACAAAAAGATGCTACTCAGGAAAAACAACAACAACAAAAATATGCCAAATAGACAACACTCTGGTAAAGATAAAAAAAAAAAAACAGAATTAGAAATTGTTATTCTTTATTAAAATGGTGTGTCAGCCACTTAACTGTAGTATAAGGGTTAAAGAAAAAAGTATTTAAAATAGCTATAGCTACTATAGTTTATAAACTTACAGCATAAAAAGAATAGTGACATTGAAAATATAAAAGGAAAGGAGTAAAATGGTGGAGTCTTTATGAGTGAACAAAGATATGTTGCTATCAGCGTAAAATGGACTGTCTTGTTTATGAGGTGTTTTGTGTAAGCCTCAACGTAACCACAGAGCAAAAATCTAGAGTGTATTTACAGAACTTAAAAAAAGGGGAGCCTGATCATATCACCAGGTGCAATACTTTGTTTCTTTGAAGACCGATGGGTAATTTTGTTCCCTCCTTTCTTTCTTCAGCTCTGCAGATTTGTCTTTCACTTAAGTTTCTTTTTTATCTTCATCTCTTTTTGTCATAGTCAGTGCTTTCCTCAGATGGCTTATAATTCCTAATTATCTGCTTGTGATTAAAAATAAGTCATTACACCATTTGTATTATTGCTTTGATCAATCACCATTACTCTTCTTGCCCATTCTTGAGTTTGTAAGAGCTGTTAGTTCCTCCAATTTGTCATTTCTTTGGTAACCTTTAGTTGCATTTTCCTCAATAGAATGTATACATTTTTATGTTAAAAAGAAATATTGTCTAGTTTTCAATGTATATATTTTGTATATTTCAGTGTATATATATTATTCGGTGTATGTTTTGTTAAACTCATCCTAAAGTATTTTATAATTGGAAATGTTTCCTTAATTTCATTTTTAGGTTGGAATTGTTTTCTTAACTTCATTTTCAGTTCATTCATTGCTACTGTATAGAAATAAAATCATTTCAATCACTTAAAATGAGGCATTACAAACATTCATTTTAAGTGCACATGGTTGAAGCTTCCTAATTTGATGCTTCACTGTGGAGTCATTTTTCTGTATTCTTTCCTTGGATGACCTCAGATGTCACCATCTTAACATATTTTCTCTTGGGCTGTAAGGTTTTCAGAAGAGCATTCTTGTACCTGGCTTGAAAAGTAGAATTGGATGTAGTATTGGGGAATAAGACATATTAAAACTTAATTTCTGTGTTTCAGATATGATACTTCATGGGTCCCTGAGTGCTGCATCCTGAGAATTCTCATTTTCCCTTCCCAGAGAATGGTTCTCCAAGTGTTCATTTAGAGCAAAAAAGGGGCATTCTCAGTTTGAGAAGTACGAGGGGAAGAAACAGGTTTTTATTATTTTTTATTTTATTTTATTTTTTTAGAAACAGGTTTTTAAACAAACATCCATTAGATCCACATTTACTACTGTTACCAATGTAGTAAAGTGGCAAATCCTTGAACATTTCATGGTTCTCCGAGTTTTTTGACTGCTTCTACAGACTTCTGATCCACATTTTTATATTTACTAAATCATTTATCAATTTTCCAGCTTTCAAATTTTGGTCCTTTTGTCTTCATTTTTTTTTTTTTTTTGGTCCGTGAGGTTTTTGCTTTTATATAAATACCTTTGTCATCAAGAATATGAAAAGATATCCATGGAATGGTAGAAAATATATATATACAATATTTTTTTAATATACAGAATATTTAAAAAGCCTGTAACAATGAAACAACCCTACTAAAAATGCCTAAAGGAATGAATAATTTTACAGAGAAGATAGAAAAATGCCTAAGTACGCACATGAATAGGTGCTCAGCATTTACTCGTTAGGGAAATGCTAATCAGAACCATGTTCTGTGCTTAGTTGCTCAGTCATGTCTGGCTCTTTGCAATCCCGTGGACTGTAGCTGGCCAGGCACCTCTGTCCATGGGGATTCTCCCAGCAAGAATACTGGAGTGGGTAGCCTTGTCCTCCTCCAGGGGATCTTCCCAAGGGATCAAACTCAAGTCTCCTTCATTGCAGTCAGATTCTTTACCATCTAAAGCACCAGGGAAGCCCAAGAATACTGGAATGGGTAGCCTATCCCTTCTCCAGGGGATCTTCCCAACCCAGGACTCTAACTGGGGTCTCTTGCATTGCAGACGGATTCTTGTAGGGGAGCCCAAGCAGAACCATATGAGGTACCAATCCACATCCACCAGAATAGCTATAATAAAAGGAAAAAAAAAGGAGCACGTGTTAGCTAGCTTGAGACCTTCATACAGTGCCGTTGGGGATGTAAAATGGTTCAGTCACAGTGGAAAAGTGGAAAAGTATATGGGTGTTTCTCAAAAAGTTAAATATGGAATTACCATGCAACCCAACAATTCCAAGTATAACCTCGAAAGAATCAAAAACAGGTCTCAGACATATGGCTTCCCAGGTGGCTCAGTGGTAAAGAATCCACCTGCCAATGCAGGAGACGTGGGTTTGATCCCTGGGTCAGGAAGATCTCCTGGAGGAGGAAATGGCAACTCACTCCAGTGTTCTTGCTTGGAAAATCTCATGGACAGAGAATCCTGGTAGACTACAGTCCATGGAGTCGCAGAGCTACGCCTGAGCCACCGAGCACGGCAAACTAGGACGTGTTCAAACATATACACATAAGCCCATATTCACAGCAGCACCATTCACAATAGCTAGAAGATGGAAGCCATTCAAACGCCTATCAGAGTACAAACCCATAAACTAATTATGGTATATATATGTGGTATAAGGGGAGCATTAATCAGTCATAAAAATAAGTCAAAATTCTGATACATGCTCTGAAGTGGGCGGACCTCTAAAACATTATGCTAAGTGAAAGAAACCAGACACAAAAGATATTTTTAATTCTATTTTTATTATTTATCTATAATAAGTTTATTCATAGAAACAGAATGCAGATTAGTGTTTGCCAGGTGCGATTAATAGTAGGAGGACAAAATGGGATGAGACTGTTTAATAGGTTTGGGATTTTGTTTTGGAATGATGGAAATGTTTTGGAACTCCATAGAAGCAGCAGTTGTACAACACTGTGAATGTCCTAGGGGCCACAGAATTTGTTACTTAGAAATGATTAATCTTATTCTATGTGAATTTCACCTTAATAAAAAACAAATAATCAACAGTGGAGTGTACAAGTTGCCTCATATCTACACGTAGTCAAAACACTCCTCTGAACTGCAAATGAAAATAACAGATGGACCTCAGTTTATTGGTGTGATTTACTGATTGGTGCATATTTTCAAGCATCTATTTCTTTTTATTAGTAGCTACATGATAGTATGACAACAACAATTTATCCTTTTAACCAGGAAAATTGCATTTTTGGAAATAAGGCAGTATAATTGTGTCATGAAAGTTGTCACATTTTGTCAAATGCCTTTTTTGCATTGTTGAGATGATCACGTGATTCTTTTCCTTCATTCCATTAATGTGTTGTACCATACTGGTTGCTTTTGTATGTTAAACTCCATGAGGGGCTTTATATTTGCTACAAACTCTACAGTAAACAAACCAATAATCTATTTCTTTTAGTATCCATCCCTTCATTTATCCTATTGTTTGCAAACAAAAATGGATAGTTTCTAATGAGGTGGAAGGATGAATGTGGTGCCTATTATACAGAGTGAAGTAAGAAAGAGAAAGACAAATACTATACATTAATGCACATATATGGAATTTAGAAAGATGGAACCGATGATCCTACATGCAGGGCAACAAAAGAGACACAGACATATGGAACAGACTTTTGTACTCAGTGGGAGAAGGCAAGGGTGGGCTGGCTTGAGAGAATAGCACTGAACATGTACATTATCATATGTAAAATAGAAGACCAGTGCAAGTACCATGCATGAATCAGGGTGCCCAAAGCCGGTGTTCTGGGACATCCCAGAGGGATAGGGTGGGGAGGAAGGTGGGAGGAAGGTGCAGGATGAGGTGGGGGGCACATGTACACCTATGGCTGATTCATGTTGATGTATGACAAAAATCATCACAATATTGTAATTATCCTCCAATTAAAATAAATAATATTTTTTAAAAGTGTATATTTTGCCTTCCACATCCTGCACATCATGTGATCGTACCACCATATGCCATTATTTGAGGCAGAAATCTTTTTCAACTACAAAATATACCTGTACCTTATTGGTACTGGTAAAAATAAAATGTAAAAAATATGTTCTTTGCATTATGGCTAAATGCTCTTTAAATTACCTTAAAGTCTCATAATATACTTATGAAATAGATATAGTTCTATTTTGCTCATTTTATAGCTAAGTAAACTAAAGAACTTAGATTTATTTTGGTACAGAGCTAGTAAGTGATAGAGACTTGGGAGCATCACCTTGCTCAACACATTTCAGCTTTTTCACCATTATTACACATACTAATCCATTTTTCGGTGCCCAGTTATCTTTTAAATTTTCTAATTAATTCTAAGAATTTGTATGTAAAATTTTAATAGGGGAGAATACATCTGACTACTGGTTATACCTGTTGCTTTTACTTTAAACTTCATGTTCTGTAGCCTGTAGCCTAAAATATACAGAATAGTTTATTCTCAAGGCTCTGACCTTTAAGAGTCCATTCATATATGGATAAAAATTTGCAGAAAAAACAACAACATTTGTCTTGGTGGAGATTTACAGGAACATCCTCACCTGACCTAGGTGGGTAGCTGCAAGAATAAAAGATTCCAATGCCAAAAAGTTTTCAACAATCAGCCTCTCTCACCTTGCCTTTAAAAGTGCTTTGCTGACACCTTTCGAGTAGTTCAGAGTTTTTTGGGTCAGGAGCCATCCTTCTCCTTGAACTAATCTGCAATAAACCTTTCTCTGATCCAAACTCCACTGATGTTTTGGTTTGCTTGGCCTCATTGTGCATCAGGCATATGAAATTGGGTTTGAAAACAGAATCAATAGACACAAGCCTACATACTTGCACTCACAGGATTTATTTTTGCTTTGTGAGACTGAAGTTTTAAGCCATCACAAAAGGGGAGAAAAGCAGATTTTTTTCCTTCTTGAATCAGGTCAGTTAATGGTGAGTTTCTTGGTATTATTTTTTTTCCACGTTATGGCTTTTGACAATATTGCATAGCCACAATTCTAAAAGAAACACAGGAAAATTGAAATGCTACATTTTAATTGTTAATAAAAGCTGTGTAATTTTACTACACTGCTACAGGTATTTTAATAAATTAGTATAATAAGACAGCTTATATTGTCACAATCTATGCCTGTGCTCCACAGTTTCTAAACACAAGTTTTTTTTGTTTGTTTGTTTGATTTAATTTTTTCCTGAATCATTGGTGATAGCCACATTAAAAGGCAATGCTGTAAAAGGTATATATATGTGTCTCATTTACACATGTTTTACATGGGTCAAAGAAAGTCATGTACAAGGAAACAGATATATATGCACATGTGTGTAAGTACAGGTATGAAGATATTCTTTATATATTGTCATTTTAAAATCATGCTATGATGTAAATATTGGTATGGCCTCTCTTACATAGAAGGCATTTTTAAATGTACATCTTTTATAGAAAACAATCTAGTAGGCTGTAGATGCCTTCTTGTGTGACAAGAATTCAAAGCATCTTTTTCCTCTGAGTCTATTTCATAATGTTCATCTATTACTTGAGAATGAAAACAATAACACTGTCATTAGAACACAAAATTTCAACAAGGGATAAGCATGCATTGATTTGGGTCTTGCACTCCAGGAGAAAAAACACACATATTTTTAAAGTTGTTTCTTAATTACATGCGTTTTTGAAATTCCACTGTCATTATCTGTCCCAGTCTTCTGTGGCACTGTAATGTGTAGAAGTGATGTTTCAGAGTCTGCAGTAAGGAAGAGAGGAGTGAGCGTCCCCCAGTTCAGGGCAGCACTCATTCTTATTTGTCCTCTCCTATCACATCACTTGTGGATCTCCCAAGCCCCAGTGGGCGCGCGCGCACACACACACACACCAAAAATCATACTGTGTAGGGTTTTAAGAAGAGGTCCCCAGGACCCCATCCAGGATCCTCTCCCTACCCCCATCCCCACCACATCTCCCTGGAAGACCTGTAGCCCCGTCAACTATCCCAGTCCTGCTCTGATACCTCCGACCAGCGGGCCTGGCAGAAGTCTGAAACTGGGCAGGACTCCGACCAGACCCGCCCGGGCTCCCCCAGCCTGGCCTGGGCTTCTGGGGCCAGGAGGGCCACCCCCTCCACCCCCGAGCCCAGGGACACTGCGACGATGGGCCCCCCTCCTATCAGGCAGAGCCCTCACTTACGATGGCCCGCGGAGGCCAGCTGGCCCAGCCCTGTGAGGATTAGCAGGAGAGACAACATTGAGTGACCGGCTTCGGCTCAGGGAAGGCTGTTGACTGGACGTGACTCGCGAGGTTTGCCGCGCCGGGGGTTGGGAGCCGGACTGGGAGGGGCGTGGCTGGGGCTGAGGGGCGTGGCTGGGGCTGAGGGGTGTGGCTGGGGCTGAGGGGCGTGGCTGGGGCTAAGGGGCGAGATGAAACGAGGGGGCGGGGCAGGAGTGAAAAGAGGAGCAGGGGGCTGAGGCCAGGTGAGACTGGAGGGCGGGGCAGGAGAGGGTCAGAGCAAGTCTGCGGGGCTGGCCTGCGGGCAAGCTGGGCAGGCAGGTGGAGAAGGCAGCTCTGTTAGAGGGATGAGTGGGGTGAAGGATGGAAGTGCAGCTGTGCATTGGGCCTCTCCCCAGCTTGGGCACCAGGATTTGCGGCCCACTGCGGGGGGGGGGGGGGGGGGTCCACCAGCAGCTAGGTGTTTTGGGGAGTCACAAGGGAGACTTTTTTGAACTGTGGTGTTGGAGAAGACTCTAGAGTCCTTTGAACTGCAAGGAGATCCAACCAACCCATCCTAAAGGAAGTCAGTCCTGAATATTCAGTGGAAGGACTGATGCTGAAGCTGAAACTCCAATACTTTGGCCAGCTGATGCGAAGAACCGACTCCTTGGAAAAGACCTTGAGGCTGAGAAAGATTGAAGGCAGGAGGACAAGAGGACTACAGAGGATGAGATGGCTGGATGGCATCACCGACTTGATGGGCATGAGTTTGAGTAAACTCCGGGAGTTGGCGATGGACAGGGAGGCCTGGCGTGCTGCAGTCCATGGGGTCGTGAAGAGTCGGACACGACTGAGAGACTGAACTGAACTGAAGGAAGACTTCCTCCCGCCCAAGTGAACTTTATTTTCGAAAATCTGACATTTTAAGTGTATTTAGGGATAGCGTAAGGGTTACAAAACACTTTCTCCTCTTCATGTAAGCATTTTGTTGGTGAAGTGCTTGGCTATATTAGTAGTCCATGTCACAGCGTTCTGGTACAATAGCTGAACGACTAGGGAAAGAGAAAGAAAGTACAAATTTACAATCTGTTTAGTAGTAGACAGTTTCATACTTTAACTATATCTACTGTCAGATTTCTCTTTTAAGTATCAGATCAAAACAGGTACTCAAAGGAACAGAAAGAGTGAAAAATAAAGGATCAATGGATTCCAGATGTGCAAGTTGCATTTAGAAAAGGCAGAGGACCCAGAGATAAAATTGCCAACATCCATTGGATCATAGAAAAAGCAAGAGAATTCCAGAAAAACATCTACTTCTGCTTCATTGACTACCCTAAATCCTTTAACAGTGTGGATCACAACAAACTATGGAAATTCTTAAAGAGATGGGAATACCAGAACGGTTAACCTGCCTCCAGAGAAACCTGTATGCAGGTCAAGAAGCAACAGTTAGAAACAGACATGAAACAACAGACTGGTTCAAAATTGGGAAAGGAGTACATCAAAGCTGTATATTGTCACCCTGCTTATTTAACTTATATACAGATTACATCATGAGAAATACCAGGCTGGATGAATCAAAGCTGGAATCAAGATTGCCAGGAGAAATACCAATAACCTCAGATATGCAGATAACACTACCTTTATGACAGGAAGCGAAGAAGAACTAAAGAGCCTCTTGATTAGGGTGAAAGAGGAAAGTGTAAAAACTGACTTAAAACTCAACATTCAAAAAACTAAGATCATGGCATCCAGTCCCATTATTTCTTGGCAAATAGATGGGAAAAATGTGGGGAAAGTGGCAGATTTTATTTCCTTGGGCTTCAATCACTGCAGACAGAGACTGCAGCCCCACAATTATAAAAAGCTTTCTCCTTGGAAGGAAAGCTATAAGTAACCTAGACAGCATATTAAAAAGCAGAGACATCACTTTGCTGACAAAGGTCATATAATCAAAACTACGGTTTTTCCAGTAGTCATGTACAGATGTGAGAGTTGGACCATAAAGAAGGCTGTTTTGTTCAGTCACTCAGTCGTGTCCACTTCTTTGTGACCCCATGGACTGCAGCACACTAGGCTTCCCTGTCCTTTGCCATCTCCCAGAGCTTGCTCAAACTCATGTCCATTGAGTTGGTGATGCCATCCAACCATCTCATCCTCTGTCATCCCCTTTTCCTCCTGCCTTCAATCTTTCCCAGCATCAGGGTCTTTTCTAGTGAGTTAGCTCTTCACATCAGGTGGCCAAAGTATCAGAGCTTCAGCTTCAGCATCAGTCTAAAGAGAGCTGAGCACTGAAGAATTGATACTGTCGAAATGTGGTTCTGTAGAAGACTCTTGAGAGTCCCTTGGCCTACAAGGAGATCAAACCAATCAATCCTAAAGGAAATCAACCCTGAATATTCACTGGAAGTACTGATGCTGAAGCTGAAGCTCCATTTCTTTGGCCACCTGATGGGAAGAGTGGACCACTGGAGAAGACACTGGTGCTAGAAAGATTTAGGGCAGGAGGAGAAGAAAGCAACATAGGATGAGATGGTTGGATGGCATCATCAGCTCAGTGGGCATGAGCTTGAGCAAATTCCAGGAGACAGTGAAGGACAGGGAAACCTGCCATACTGCAGTCCATGGGATCACAAACAGTAAGACACAACTTAGTGACTGAACAACAACAAATGTATTTGTTTACATATGAATACAAATTTATATGTGTAAATATATAGCTTTACATTTATTACTTTATTGCTGATTTATCATTTAGTATGAGGCAAAATAATTACAGCCATGAAATGATTGAAAATAATAAAAATTCATTTATTTAGTGTTGTATACTTTTGATTCTTTGAAAAATCCATGGTTTAGAAAGACTAAAGTGAAAGGCTAAATAGAATGTTTCCAGTCACTACAGAGTAAAGAATATGCCTGTCAATGCAGGAGATGTGGGTTTGATCCCTGGGTCAGGAAGATCCCCTGGAGAAGGAAATGGCTACCCACTTCATTATTTTTGCCTGAGAAATCCTATGGACAGAAGAGCCTGGTGGGCCACAGTCCATGGGGTTGCAAAAGAGTCAGACATGACATAGCTTATTTAATCTGTGGCATGTGGAAAATATATTTTCCACATATATTTCTCATACATATTTCCTTTAGGCAAACTTACTGCAAATGTGGATAAAGAGAATCACATTCTATTATTTGAAACTTGGAAAAAGATACATTGCAGGAAAAAAATCTTTACACTATAAATAAGAAGATACACTTAACATTAATAAGAAAATAAGAAATATCTAATTTCCTTCATTCAAAATTAGACATACATATATATGTTGAAAGGCATTTCGATGAATATAGTTCTTTCAACAAACGACCCTGGACTATTTGGCACACATTTGCAGAAATACAAACTTTATCACATATGTCGTAATTTCAAATTTTGCTTCAAATTTTGCACAAAAATGCCTCAAAATGAATCATAGGTCTAAATGTGCATTGCAAAGCTATAAAACTTCAAGATGAAAGCATAGGAGAAAATCTGAGTGACTTTGGGTTTGGTGGTGAGTTTTTAAATATAACAGCAAAAGCATAATCCAAGAAGGAGAACAATGATAAAATTTAAAAATGTTTCCTCAGCAAAAATTATTGATTTGAATGAAAATATGACACATATTTGAAGAAAAAAAAACTCAATTTTTATCTGGTAAAAGGAGAAGAGGGCAGCAGAGAATGAGATGGTTAGATAGCATCACCAACTCAATGGAAATGAATTTCAGCAAACTCCAGGAGTTAGTGGAGAACAGAGGAAACCAGGCTTTGCTACAGTTTGCTACAGATGGTTTGCTACAGTTCATAGGGTTGCAAAAATTCAGACAACTCAGCTACAACAAATATGTGATAAAGGACTTATCTGCAGATTATCTAAGGACAATTGTGTGTATACATGTGCTGTACACATATATCAGATTCATATATCTGCCTGTTGTGAGATTCTAGAAGCAATGAAACCCAAATAGCAAGGAGCAAACCTAGCATCTAGGTCTGCAATATTGTTTCCCAATAACAGAAACCAAGAATCCTTGTAGAAAAGGCTGCTTCTAGGGCTGTGACAAGGAATATACAAGATAATTCTGAAACACCCTTTATGGAGCCTGAAAGTGAAGAACTACTCAAAAACCAAAAACATATACGGTACATTTAGCTGCCTTTATTTTTTTAATAGATTTAAGTATAAAAAGTGAGAAAAATAATCTTACAGGTGTTTTCATGTTGTCAGGAAATAGCTGACAAACACTACTTCCTCCAAGTTATCAAGATTGATATTAAGTTATCAGTTTATAGCATTTGTCTTTGATGTGATGTGATGAGAATGATGTTCCAACTCTGTGAACTTATTACCTAAACCCATAGCCCCAGCCTAATGCATGATGGAAATAAACATATGGCTACAAGATAAACACTTTTTTTCCCATCTGGTAAAAATTATGTATTCAAAAGCTCCAGTATACACTTACAGAATAAACAAAGATGGAAGGCTTAATGGTACACATCCCAGCTCTGGTGGGAGAGTTTGTAAAGGAACAGTCGTTAAGGCTGGGATAGCATGAATTTTGAGATATGGAGCTGTAGTCAGCATGTACATTACTCAGGTTCCCTCAACAACATTACCTGTCACGGTGTTCTTGAATTGTCTTGTTTTCTTTTCCTCTGTAAAGTGTCAAGATGGCCAATTAAGTCATTTTCTCTTTCAGTGAATATGATCCAACATTTCCCTAAATGACATATATGTGATGTGTGTGCAGTTGAATGTGTCTTCATCAAATGGGCTTCCCTGGTGGCTCAGATGGTAAAGAATCCACACGCAATGCGGGGGATCTGGGTACAATCCCTGGGTCAGGAAGATTCCCTGGAGGAGGGCATGGCAACCCACTCCAGTATTCTTGTCTGAAGAATCCTGTGGACAGAGGAGCCTGGCAGACTACAGCCCACAGGATCGCAAAGAGTCAGACATGACTGAGCGACAAAGCACAGCACACAGTAATAGTTTTCAAAGAAAATATCACTTTGAGGCTAAAATCCTCATTCATGCTGTCACATATTGGGATTAATATAAGGGTTTCTTGCCTTCAATGAG